TTTAAATAACCAAAAAACGTGTTTTTTTTGTTTTTTTCACACTCCCCCCCCCCCCCCCCCCCCCCCCCCCCCCCCCCAAAAAAAAAAGCCCCAAAAACAAACAAATAAAAAGAAGAGAAGCCTAAGAGAAGAGCAGGTTGGGATGTATTGAGTGCAGGTATACCCCCTGCATTCATCCAGCCCCGAACTGGATCCCTGGGACCTGCAGCCAATCCTCAGGGGGATGTGCTCGCTAGAAAGACCCAAGAAGGATGAGACGTGCACTTTCTCACACTGACATACAGCTTTGAGTATCTAAGTCAATCCCTGCTCCTGCTCAATCTTTGCTGGCAGCCATTTGCAACAGACATTTTCCAAATGCTTCCTGCAGCGTTCCCTGCTCTCCCACACTACAATAATCGTTACACTATTTTTACTCGAGATCTGAGAATGTGTCAGGGAGAGACAAGAGCTTTTCAGGAGGCAGTCTGGCACAGGGAATACCAGCACTGCTACAGAGCAAACCCTAGGTGGTGACCCTGTGGTCCTGAAGTGTTTTGGGATGGAGCAAAGCAGCACAGAAGGGCCCCAACCACTGCTGTGAGAAGCCTGGAAAGAGTTACCGCCGGCTTCGGAGGGTTGCTCCTTCCCAACAAGGCAGGAGGGGTGAAGAATGCAAGTGACGCAGCAGCATCCTGGCAGGAGAGAGGAAAAAAAAAAAAAGTAAAACAAAAAAGCCAACAAAAAAACTAAGGCTCTTTGGATGAGGTTCAGGATGACTACACTTTTACTGTAAGTGTTTGGTAACTCGGAGTCGCATAACCCTCCTCTGCCCACTTGGGGCTACAGCAGATGGATTACGACAAGAACCGCTCTACAGACATGCACACACGCCCCAATTCCCTGTCCAAGGGAGGACAAAAAAAATATAACAAATTAAGCTGTGTTTCCCATTTAACAGAGACCGACTGCTATTTATTTAACAATTTTAAAGTGTTATTTTAGCCTTCCCGGTCTGTGTGTGTTCAGAGGCTGTTTCTGGGACACGAGCCAAAGTCTATCAGAGCAACTTGGCACCAAGAGAGAGAGGAAAAAATGAAGGGAGGTGATGGGCAATGCTTCCCGAACTGACAGTCCCTGGACCTGGACAGGGCAAAGAGGAAAAATGGGGACAGCCATGGAAAAGCCAGGTGCTGGCAAAGTCTACCCACTTCACAGTGCAAGTACACTTGCAGCACCAAGAGCTCCAGGACAAGTGCACTGAGGGAAGAAAAAGACACTGAGTATCTCCCAGTGGATAACCACAAGGTCCTCCTTGGGCTCTTGCATCCAATTCCCTCCTCCTGCCTTTGCCATCAACCTCTCCAGGGGTAGCATCAAATCCACTGTCCCTCCCTAAAGATGTGGTCTGGGGATCTCTTTTGCTCCTGCAAACAAAACAAAGGGTTGTGCCTCTGGATCAGCATTTGGGATTGATGTTGAGCAGACAGGTAGAGGCAAGACACGGCATGTCAAAGGAAGAAGGCTGATGCCCCAAATGAGTTCTCCCCTTCAAGCACTTACTGCTCCCTCTCCCAGGTTCAGAGCAGATGAGACAGCTTTCAAACACAAGAATGCCATGAAATCAAGTGCCAGGTAGACATGGACAGTCATCCTGCACATTGCTAAGGCAACAAACAACATAATGGGAACCTACCTGGCACCTAGCAATGAAGGCTGCAAAACATGCAGCTCAGTCGACAACCAATCCATTTCACACTCACAAAATATGTTTTATCAGTTTAAAAATTTCCCATCTTTTCCCATATTGCAGCATCACTGTCCTCACCTCCCACTTTCCCTACTGCTCACTCTGTAGCATACAGCTGCAGCACAACAGCTGACTTGTGGGGTTGAGAAATACTTGCATGCTAGTACACAGACACCTCTCACTAGTTTCTTCATGAAGGTCGAATTCAGAGGCTGCTGAAGTGGATGGGAGGCCCCAGTTTCCCCAGATTTGGACCAGTGGGATAGTGGCTGAACCAACACTATGAAGTCTCACCTCTGAGGATGCTCCAGGGGCTCCGTGCTGCAGGAGCTCCCTGTATGCATGCTTTCCCAGTGCTCAGATGATGAATTAACCATATTTGCTGTCAGACTGGGGCTTGTAGGCAGAAAGTTCTCAGAAGCTTTACTAGCCCTTCAGCAGATGTAGAGGGCAAGGACCTGACAGACACAGTGTCTGGGACAGGCAGTGCTAACCCAGACACATGCAAGAGCCTGGCAAAAGGGCTGTGCTTAGCCAGAAGGTTGAGTAGTCACAGCCACTTACACTGCCTCAGTAATATTATTAAAACAAGCACAGATGTGCACCGAGGGCATATAGAACCCGTCCTCAAGAGATGCATCCAAATGAGGTCCCTACATGAATCTCCAGTGAAGCAAAGCATTAGGTTGGATGGGGAACTGGGCAACCTGATCTAGTGGCATGCAACTCTACTCACAACAGAGGGTTGGAACTGGGTGGTCTCTAAAGACCCTTTCAACCCAAGCCATTCTACAATGATGCTATGAAAGCAAGGCTTGTTGCTGAGCAAGGAGGCGATTGCGTGGAATAACTCTGGCACCATACAAGCAGCTTTCCTCCATGCCACCCTGCAACAGCACAGTGACCCCAGACTGGGCAAGTGGGAGCAGCATGCAGTGAGTTGACTCTCAGAGCCACAGTACCTCCCCTGGGACAAGAAGTTCGCTGCTACTCCTCTTGCTTTGCACCTGAGACTGCAGCTGCACAGCTCAGCACTGGCATAAGCTCAGCACTCAGCAAACTCGATTGGAGGACACTTGCACTGATACAACACGGTGTGGAGGAACCGCCTGGAAGTCTTCAGGCCTTCTGCTGAAAGCAAATCAAATCAAATCAAATCAAAACAAGTATTTCCTCCTTAGATCAAGTCCACATCCAACAAACCTTGCACGTGCTGCAACACAGACCGCTGCCCCATGGGAGCTCTTTGCTCCATGCTTTGCACTAGAACACCTCTTGGTTTTATTTACAAGAACTCCTGTCAGCATGTCCAGCACAGTTGCCAACCGTTCACCTCCCTGCAGCATGGGTTTGCAGTTGCATTTGACTTCTTTCCAGCTAAGTCCCAGCCTATTAGCCGTGAAGAGGCCAAATCACTTATTTACTTCTTAACCTTCCCTGTCAACTTTATAAAACAAATTGAAATTGTTTTTTGAACTAGTTAGATTCAGTGCCGCATGTCACAATCAAGCTTCCTTTTTTTCTTTTTTTTTTTCCAAGGGAAATTTTAGCCCTGACTGAGTTAGAGCTGAAATCCAGACTTTGGTAGCAAAACTCACACCTTCCTCCGAGACACCATGCCCAGATGCCATGCTCAGTGTGGGATCACAGCCCGGCAATGAGCCCTGCACAACACATGGGAAGGTTCTACAGCCTACAAAAAGAAGCAGGCATACCCAGTAGCTCTGCCTATCTGTAATCTTCCTCTCAAGGCACTTTTATATCCTCCTGTTATTTTAAAAGCTAGCACACACTGGTTTAGTTTTGCTGCTACGCATTCTTAATATAAACGAGAAAAGTCTTTCTTCTTGCAGTAAAACCCCTTTTTCCCCTCGGGGGTACAGCTGGTAGGGCAGAATAGACTCAGCATTTAACATTTATTGTAAGCATGAGTATCAACTTGAATCATCCTGGCTTGCAGGGCCCAAGAGCATTCCCAGCAGCTGTGAACACCGTCAGATAGCCGCTGTAGGGGTATTTGGTTCAGCATTCATGGAGAAGGAAATCAGCAGTTTGCATCAGCACAGAGTGACCAGTTTGTGGTCAACTGAACCAAGAGTCAAAAGCCCAGTGTAATGCTGTCATGTCAGAAATCTGGTCTGGATGATGGGACTCAGCAGAACCAAAGCGCAGCAGCCAGAAGCAAGCCAGAACTCAGATGCAAGGGCTGCAGAGAGGTCCAGCAGCCATCTAGCCCCAGGCCACTCAGCTTATTTGTCTCTGCACCACTCTCCAAGGCAACACCAGCTTGGCTTCTGCCAAGAAGGAAGCCGGTCTCAGCCGCAGTTCCCAGCCACCAGCAGCCTTCTCCCTGCCATCCGGGAAGGGCTGCTGTGCTGCTAACAAAGCATTTTCTAACACTTATTGGGCCAGATCCAGAAGCATTCATTTTCCCTCACCACCACCACGATGAACTGAAACCTATACTCTGAGAAATAGCAGCCTGCCCCACTGCCACTGGGCACGACTGCAAGGCAGCAGCCAGAAACCACGTCCTCCTGGGCAGCTTTCTGCTGGTCCTGGGCTCAGACAAGGGGAAATGCTGACTGACACCCTCCTGGGTGCTTCAAATCCACCATTCCCTTCAAAGCTTGATCCAAAGCAGATGTCCAGCTGTCTCTCCTCTTCCTGCCCTTCCTCCTGCATCTTATCCACTGTCCTGGCCAAAACATGTCGCTACGTTGTGAAATAAGTGCTGAAGACAGCACCCCATCAAATCATACCCAGCACCTGCGGTGGTTGTTATTTTTCCCCCTAAGTTTAGCATATGCAAATCTTCCAGCCATTCCTCGTAAGTGAAGCTTCCCAAACAGAAGCTTCATATTCCCAAGCTGCCTGCTTGGAATATGAAAATATTAAAAACATAGAGGATGGATGCTCTACTTGAAGCAAGGTTCCATGAGACAACACAGACTGAATTGTTACCTTTGCCATTTTTCTGTAGGCTATTTGAGGTCTGCCTTTCTTGTAACACCATCCAATCCTTAATACACAATCAGTTTATGATTCACTGCATCTCCCAGGTCCTTTCTGCAGTTAATGTGTTATTGTTCATTTTGGGTACATGCATTCAATTGCCAACTGCACTAATTTGCACTTGTCTTTACTGAATTTATTTTTCTTGTCTTCAGACTACCCTTGTAACTCATTAAGACAACTGTAAACAAGGAGACTATTGAGTGAAGTATCATCAACACCTCTGGTTACACTCATGTCCTTTGCAGTCTACCTCTCAATTCACTAGAGAAAGTAGACCCTAAGCAGACCACTCAAAACACCCTTTCGATCCTACAGCAAACTGTTTTCGAAGTATTGGCTTCTTAAATACTCAGTTATGACTATTTCATCGTATTTCCCAAGTTTGGTTGTCAAAATAGCAGGATATCCTCAGGAACTACCCAACATCTTCCAGCACTTTGTTTTGATACAGTCACTAAAATCTCAGGACTGATACAGGTTTTCCTCCTAGCTCTGCAACCCCTCCATCCCTCATGACAAACCACTGCATCAGTCGGTAGCACAGCTCAGAGCTGGTAATACAGCGCGAGTGAAGATGGATGAGTTCTGCAGTTATTCCAAGCTTTCCTAAAATTTATTATCCTCTCTTCATCAGGGATCATAATCTTCTGATTTTTCTTCAAGTCTTATTTTCCAAGTAGGCCTCACCAATCTCTTCACTGATTGCGCATGGCTGAGCTCCAGTGCTTCAGGGACTCACAACAAAAAGCAAATATCCAAAGGGTTAATGATTTTTTTCCCATGATCTTTGTCTCATAAACATTAATTCCACTGGAAAAAGGAACATTTCATTTAAAAAGAGCAGCTGTTGGGAAGAATAATGTAGGGCTTAGAAAGAAATTTAAGAAAATAAAATAAAATAAAGGGAAGCAAGGGGAGAAAGCAAAATAACACTTCCAGAAAGTTTTCCAAAGGAAATGAGTAACCACTTGTTGTTAAATGATAAATCACAGTCCTCGGGAAGTGGCATTGTCTGTGGTCTATTTTTAATGAGAAAACACCCGTGTCACTGGCATGAGGGCTGCACATGCTGACAGGATGAGTCTGCGGGCAGTGGGAGCTGAACGCTCACGGGTAACCATCACCTCATTCCTGTCATTCCCACTGCTTATCAGGAGCCAAAACAGCATGAAAAGCAAGTGGCTTGAAGGAAGAAAAAGGCACCCTGGACAACAAACAAGGCTGTTGCTTTCCAGGGAAGGAGGACAGGAGGAAACACTACAGACAAGGAGAAGGAGCAAGGCCACATGTGCAGACTCGGGGCTGTGGGCTGTTTGCTCATGCTTTTCAAGGGTCAAGGATACGCACACAGCCACAGGTGAGCTCTGTCCTACCAGGTGAGCCAACGTCCTACCAGGAAATAAATCTCAGTATCATATATGAGCATCCTGTGAGTCCTCAGTATGCAGAATTTGGGCACACAACAATGCTTCAGCCTCTTTTCTCTGATACTGAGACTGAGAGCTTTCCTGGGAAGCTGAGGGCTGCTGCAACAGGGCCAGTACCTCATGCTGCAGCTCCATTTGTCACTGAACACTTCAGAGGTATAATAAGCCTCATTTGAGGTTGATAATGAGTCTCACATTCCTGTGGTGACATGACTCAGGCCCTCGACCATGTGGTACCAAGAGGCCATGCCAGGGAAGGAAAACTGAAGTCAGTGAAGCACAACTAGGATCACATACCTTCCCATTCAATAAGGAGGATCTCCTCCACAGAAAGTGACGGAAAGATGGATCCAGTGGTGCTCAGTGAAGGCAACAGGCCAGCATTCCTGGGACAGGGAAGGGCTGAGTGCTGCCCACAACTCTGCACCACACAGCACAGGGTACCCTGAGGACTTTCAGATCTGTAGGAAGATGCCGGGGAGCAATGAGAGAGTGAGAAGTAATCTCCACCCATGACTCAGAGATGCCATCTGACTCTCAGGAACATAGACCTGAGATGAAAGAGTGTGCTCTGCCAGTTTTCAGTGATGTATTACTTTGCAACTCTGCACGTTCACTTAGCTTTCACTGACCCGGTGCAAAAAGACTGTAATTATTCAATTTCTCAACTATTTCTAACATTCTTTCCACATATGAAGCTTTTTTTTTTTCCCCCTTCCTTTTAATAGGAACAAAACCCCACAGTTTGCAAGAGATTATACAACACACACACACACCACTGCTCCAAAACAGCATCTGAAAGCATTTGTTTGATGTTTTCCACTCCCCCACTATAAAACACCACCCTGCTGGTCTCATTTATTGTGTGGCATTTTGCAACGAAGCGTAAAAACGGAATTAATCATAGCCCTGAAAAACACAAACTTCTTCAATGAGGTTAGAAGTAACCATTTGGAAGGAAAACTTCCAGGAGCCAGAGGGACTGACAGGCCTGGAGACTGAAGTCCCTCTTTTCAAAGGCCAAGTGTGTCCCAATATATCCCTTGGACAGCTGCCCTGAGCCAAAGTTATAATAATTTATTCTTTCTGCTTGCCTACGGATCAGTTCAAGTAGCAAGGAGATTTGGTACAAAATCAGGACAAATACCCAAAGTGAACAGGGAGGTTCAACAGGCAAACGTGTCATAAATCCAACAGGAGGCTTTAGCTCTCGCTGCAGCTTTTGCACAGGCTAATGTCCAGAGCCTTGGCTCTGGTCCATGCCTCCTGTGCTGGGATGCTGCGGAATTTGGGCACCTTCCCCTCTTGGGCAGTGCTCAGCATCCCAGTGCGAGCACCGACACTCAGCCCTGGCAGGAGGCGTTGCTTCAGCAAGTCAGAAACATGGAAATCTGGAAAGCCTATGCCAAAAGAAAAATCATTATCATCTTTGTATTTTCTGGCTCAACACCATTTAAGAAAATTACCTTCTACATAAATCAACGTCCCCTTTCTTCACTTCTGCAGATTTAGTGCTTTGCGTGAATTCAAGGAGTGGCTTCTGTCAAGGAAGAAGTTGGGAAAAACCATGAGGCTATTTTTTACATTAGATGTTGTAGCAGAGATTTGCAGAGAGCTTTGGAATCCCTGTGCATGGGAGGCAAAACACTAATAATTTTAAACCCTCCTTTTAAATTAAAAAGAACA